CCTGGAGACAGGTGCGGCACAACCCTACAGGAGCACAGTGAGTTCTCTACTTGGGGGTGTGGGGTTGGGGAGGGTGGTGGCAATGAGGCTTGGGCTTCAGCCCTGGGGTGGTTGGGAGGCGGGCTCCAGCGGTGGGACTTAAGGAGCCTGTCTGCACGGACCAGGGCTCCAGCCGTGGAGCTTCAGGCACCAACACCTGACTCCGGCTGCAGGGTTTCGGGAGCTGACCCCTGGCCATGTGGTGGCAGGCTCCCATCCCCATCTCTGGCCACAATGCACGGGCCACGGGCCCCAACCCTGGCGGCAGCTGCTGGTCCTGGGCACCGACCACCAATTCGGCAGCAGTCACCAGCCCCGGGCACCAATCCCCAGTCCTGGCTGACAACCCCGGGTGCCGATTTGTACTCCCAGCCGTGTGGCAGGTGCCGACCCCGGGCGCGCAGCAGCAGGCGCCAATCCCCGGTCCCAGGCATGCAGCAGCAGGCGCCGATCCCCAGGCACACAGCAGCAGGTGCTAGTTTCAGCCTCATGGCAGTGGGCACTGCCCCCCGGATCTGGCCACGTGGGCCCCGGCTCCAGCACCCAGCTTCGGGCTCTGCCCATGCGGTGGTAGGCACTGGCCCTGGGCTCCAACTCCCTGCCCCAGCAGTGCAGCTCTTGCTCTAAGCGCGGACACTGACCCTCTCCCTGGCCGTGCAGCTCCTGCCCCTAGCTCCGGGCTCTGACTGCGGGCACTGACCCCCCCCCCCCCCAGCTGCACAGCAGCGGGTAGCAACCCCCAGTTCCAGCCACACAGCTGTGGGGCTCACCACCCACCCTCCTCTCTCTTGGCCCCGCATCCATACCCCCCTCTCCATCACCCTGGACCCCACTGCCTCCCCAGCCAACATCCACCCCACCATGTCCCTCACTGCCTCCACCTATGATTGCTTCCCCTCCCATCCAGGGCTTAATTTGTCCTAGGACTTGCTGAGAAAAGTGATATTAAACATGCAAATAGTCACTAAGCGTCCTGTGAAAAGTGATTGATATTAACAAATATACAAATGTTACTTTTCACAGTAATATTTTTATTATTGAGTCTGCAAAAAAACCCTACATGAATAAATTACAGTGATGTGGCTGTGTATATGTACCATTTTTTTTTCTTAAAGTTAATCAAGTATTTTAGGAAAAAGTGTCAGTGCGGCCACCAGCAAGAGTTGGTGGTCACACTCTGAGGCCTCCAAAAAATTTGTTGTGAGAACCCCTGAACTAGGGTCTCTGTGCAGGCAGGGGTGTAGCTCAGGGTGCTGGGAGAGGGGTTGCTAGGGGTTGTGTGTGGGGTGGGGGTAGCGCAGGATGCAGGCAGGGGGTGTAGCTCAGGTTGTAGAGAGGGGCTTAGGTAGGGGCTATGAGTCAGGAGGCCCCCCTCCCTCATGGTTGCTACTCCCCAAGGGCTCTGCCAGGCCCGGAGTCGGGTCTAGCCATCCGCGTGGCTCTTACCGGGTGCGACCAGTCAAAGGGGGCGGGGAGCTGAGGAGCAACCTCAGCCCTGGGCACCAGGAGACTGGGAGCGCCACAGCTGCCCATTCCATGGAACCAACCAGAGAGCAGCAGCCACCCTGACCTGACCTGGCCAGAGGCATGTGGCCTCAGGGGAGAGAGCAGGAGGGGTATGTGTGTGCCTTGGGACTGCCCCACTCTGGTTAAGGCACTGAAGGTCCCTCCATGCCCCGCCCAACTCTGCTCATGGGCTTGCGGCTTCTGCTCTGCAGGGCACTGGGGCTCAGGGATCACGGCCCCCCTGAAACCAGCTGTGGGCCCCCGGTGGGCTACAGATCCCGGGCTGAGAACTGCTGTTTTATAGTGAATTCCATGAAGAATTGCCCTTTTTAAGAATGGCTACCATCTTTCCATTATTAACAGGTGTGCGATTACAGGCTGCCCTTTGCAAAAATGTTCTTTCAAAATGACCACCACTTCCCATTGTCCCCAGTGGGAGTGAGTGCCCCCATAAAACACTGAGATCCTCTGACAGCACCTTGTAACCATCAGCACTTGTCTCTACATACAGAACCAGATCATGCAGAAGAATGGGATACCACCAGACTAATGCAGAGGTCAGGGATACAACTCAGAGGAAAAACAACAAAACTAGAGTAAGCTGACATCATCAGTGTCAATGCTGTCCATGACTGAGCTGAGTGCTGTCTGAGTGCATCCTATGCATCCGAAGAAGTGAGGTTTTTACTCACGAAAGCTTATGCCCAAATAAATCTGTTAGTCTTTAAGGTGCCACCGGACTCTTTGTTGTTTTTGTAGATACAGACTAACACGGCTACCCCCTGATACTTAACTCAGAGGAAAGGAAAAGTATGTGATTCCAGATTCAGTCTGCCCCTACTCTTACTGCCGTGAGTAAAAGGGTAGGCTTCAAAGGTACTTGGCCTGTCTGCCTTCCCTCTTCTCTACTATTCCTTAATGTATACGGCAGCAAGTACAACTCTGATGTACATAGTTGGAAGTGCAGGCAGGATCCTACTAACCCAAGCTTTCCTAGGTCTGCTGCTCAGACAGCACTCAGCTCAGTCGTGGATAGCATTGACACTGATGATGTCAGCTTACTCTAGTTTTAATGGGATAGTCTCTCCTCTGCCCGATTGGCTGTTTTCTCCAACTCTCTCTCTCCCCCTTTCCCTTACAGTCTCTTCAACTCAGCCTTGCTCCATATTTGCCTTTCATATAGTCCCCTCTTCAGTGTCCCCTCTCACCTTACCATCTAGCTTATCCCTGCCTAACTAAACCCACCCAAACATGAAATAATGGAACTAAGTGACATTTGCTGCTATCACATTGTATATGCATTATATCCCTTTCCCTACCCTTCATGTGTGTCTTTTATTTAGACTGTAAACTTTTCAGGGCAAGCACTGTCTACTACTCTGTCCAATGCTTAGCACTTTGGACCACCATTCTTGGTTGTCCTGTAAGCACTACCATAATAGCTAATTAAATAACAATAATGGAACAAGGGAACCTGTGAGAGGAAGAACTGCAGGGTAGAGTGGAGAAGCATCCATGAATTCATCCCAGCACAAGGGTGCAGCCAACAGAAATGTTGGGAACCACTGGCCTACTGCAAAGTGCAGTCTGACCCATTTATTCTCTGAGCTAGAAATCAGAAATCCTTTTACAATTTCAATCCTGTTCAAGTCCCCCATCATCATATTTTATGATTTCAAAAGGCCTGATTTACATAGAGTTATTTCTTTCACTGGAATAACATGAATTTTGACTCAGCTGGAGTCTTTTGAATCACAGACTCGGTTAAACCCCCATGCACTTCAATGATGCAGAATCAGGCACTAATAGCACGAGCTGGAGTAAATAAATGCCTCAACTGCCAAAGCTTCCGCTACAAAGCTCTGTTAATATACATCATATTTTACTGGAACCAGCCTGTTATTTCAGTCTTGGGCCTGCTCAGAGGAAAGATGACCAGCTACTCCACATTTCAACTCTGTGCAACCTTATCTTGACCTTCTTGGCCCAGATCTTCAAAAGTGTTTGAACTCCTAGCTTCCATCAATTTCAATAGAAGTTAGGAGCCTCAGTGCTGTGAGGATCTGGGCCTTGGGCCTTGTGAGTATTCATTAGCACAGTCTATAATTCCAGGATCACATACTATTTTTTCCACAGGACCCCTGTCTCATTCAGTGCACAGAATGGACCTGCTCTGTGGATGACTCAGGGTTATGTAGTGAAGCAGATTGTTGTCTGTGGGACTCATGCATCATTTGTTGCAGAAATGAAGGTTTGTAATAAATGAGGATTGCACAGAGGATTGCACACAAAAAATGGTTAAAGTGATTAAATGCTGCTCTGGAGCGTTAGATTCTATCCTTGCCTCCGCCACGGAGTTCCTTGGTGATGCTGGGCAAGCCACTTAAACCAAACTTTTCACAGGTGGTCACAAATGCCTCAATTTCTTGGTGCCTGACGTGATATCCTGGGTTCTGATTTGCAGAAGTGCTGAGCACTCACAGCTGCAACTGAAGTCTTGGGAGCTGAACTCTGAACATATGAAGTGTGATAGGCTAAGTACTTTGAAAAATCAGGTTCTAAATGTCTCAAATTAGGCATCCAAAATTAGTAGATATTTCTGACCTTAATCTCTCTGTGCCTCAGTCAGTTCCACATGTGTAAAAGGGGAATAATAATACCCTCTCATCTCACAGAAGTGTTGTGAAATAAATACACACATATACAGACACACATTTTTTGAAGCACTCAGATACTATAGAAAAGCCTATGAGGAAATTAATAATTCTGTCTTCAGAGCAGGGTTTGGATAGTGTGCAGTAAAAAAAGGCATGGGTCACACATTAAACAAGGAGAAAACTAAATATCGAATAGCATCCATCCTCTGTACTGAATGTGGTTGGGATCCTGTGGAAAAAATAGCATGCGATCATGTAATTAAAGACAGTGTTATAATGGATACACACAAGGAGGCTGAATTAAACTTGCAGAGGCAACAGTAATCCTGGCATTTCCAACAATTCAGTGCTTAATTTAATAATGTTCTTTTAAGGTAGTTTCTTGTGTGCAGTGGTTTCTCCACAATGCAATACCTATATACCTGAACCTGGACAGACTACCTCTTCATTACATGCCAGTACTGTTCTAGGATAGCAGACCCTTGGATTCCAATCCTCACAAGTGTTCACTCTCACGCTGCTAACATCCTTGATGTTGTTATTGTTGAGTCTATATGTATCTAATAATTTAGGGGGTAAAGACATGTGCACCTGGATTCTTTACTATGCCTGTCAGTGTCAAAGGGTTGAATACTAACAAATTTTATAGAGGTTTATTTGTTCAACAAAATCCATCATGACACATCTAGAGCTTGATCAACTTTGTACCTCTGTACAGCCACCAAAGAATAAATTTAACACGTAACACAATGCAGAAAATGAATATGATCCTAATGTCAAACAATAATAAGACAAGTGTTTCCATTAGAAGCTGAAACTTTTATTACAGGATAACAGTACATAAAGCACATCTAAAATTGATGTGTTCAATGCACTTAATAAAGGTAATGTAATATTAAAGGTACAAGTTTCTAAGTACAATATAACAACATTCATATTAGAATGAAAATTGGAGTATTTAAAAGACAACATTAAATCTCTTATTTTTACAGTTGTATTTACAAAATGAATCAAAATACTTTTTTCAGGACTCAGAGTAAAATAAACTGTTGAATATAAGCAGACTATTGTAAGAGTGAGTTTAAAAGAAGATTCAAGAAAGTGAAAAGTTAGGTGATAATGGGTAAAGATCATTAGCAAAGTTTTAGTACAATACCATTTTAACATTTCTCTTGATGGCTTATACTTTTATTGTGACTAGAAAAGGAATTTTTACATACTGTACACATTTACATGTACAGTATAATTTCATTTAAACTTGCATGTATTTACAGAAAACTGAGTGTATTACTCAATGAGGTTTGTGAAGTTCATGTGCTTAATCATCAAACCAACACACATTTGTAATCAGCACTTATTCTGGTCTCTTTATTTTAAACATTTAGTTACAGGAGAAAATATAACCAGAGGGTTTTGCATAATTTATATAACAACTAAACCTAAACAATCAGGGAGAACATTTTCCTAGCATAAAGTTTATGATGTATATGTTAGTAGATAAAAAATTAAGAGATCCTCCATTGATTGCTGTTTGAAAGTATCAAAAAGGTGATGTGAATCAACAAGGGATTTAGAAATAAAATCATCATGGCTTGTATTTAAATAAGACTAACTCTGAAGAGGTTTTAAAAGTAATTGTCCTGATAGTGTTTGCAATTAAACTTTCTACTTATGAAAATATACCCATGGTGCAGTAAAGTTTGTATTTATTTTCAGGACAATAGTATGTTACTGTAAAAAAAAAAATTTTTTTCCCTTGGATTGAGGGTACAAAAGCAGTGCATGGAAGCCAAGAATCATGGCTTTAAAATTCACTACCTTCCATTATCAAAAAGTGTAGTAAACAGAAACATTGACTTTAATAAATTGCTCAAAAATCTTTGCTAAAGATCTTATAAATTCAGTAATATTACAGAAAATTTCTAATAAATATTTAAAAAGGTTAATTACCTCAGATATTTGATATCCATCAATTTTGTAAGAATTTAAATGACAGTATTCGTGGGAGGAGAGAGCTGAAGCGAAGAGTAACTCCAAGAAGTATGATTTCTAGATAAATAAAGGTATTTTATTTAAAGATAAATAAAAATTAAGAAAATATCGAGTTCTATGACTGACTGACAGTTCCACAAACTCCATTTTTGCATTAACTTTAGGTGTCAAAGTCCATCCTTGAACATGCACGTGTGGTTTTAATGGGAATCACATATGCATATATAAGGTCAGAATTTGAACATCAATGTTTCATGAAAGATTTACAGAACATTCCCATAACTGAAAATAACTGGAATTAGGCATGATCATGTGACTTCTGGAATGGTGAGTGCCCTCAAATCCTGTTAGATTTAGGGGGTAGAAGGCACCCAGCACTTAGCAGGTTTAGGTCTATATGTCTCACATGGACTAACTGGAAAAGATATCTCTCAACAAGCCAAATAACTACCTACTTCAACCCTTAAACTAGACAGCATTTTATACTGGGGAACTGGCTACATATTTTTCATATGATGTGATATACAGTGAAAGCATTTTAGCAACACAATGGATAATAAACAGGACATAGCACATTTATCATAATATGAACATAGAAAAATATTTGATATCAAATATCTATACTGTTGAAGTAATTTTCTCCTCATTAAATATACTACAGAATAATTTATATAATGATACTATGTATTTAAAGAGAAAAAACATGTCCCAAATCTAGTACTCTGATACAGGTACTCGTTGGGCATATGTAGATTTTTTATATATATATATATACATACACAGACACACTCACATATATGTATGTGTGTGTATATATATGTTATACTCAGTGAAATTAACAAGACCCAAGGTGGTATTATCTAGGAATAAAAGGGGTTTGTTTTTTGTTCACAAAAGTAACTTATCTAGCACCACACATCAGAAAAAAACACAAAAATAGCACACTCTAGTTCTAAACAGCTATGTCTAAAATAGATTATATAGTAAAACAGATATTATACAGCATAATGTGGTATTTGATAAACAGATAAATATTTGCACTGTGTAGGCTGTTTATAGCATAACTTTATACAGAATGAAAGCAAAAAAGTTAACTGTATAGAGGTGAGCAGAACAACATTAAATATTATGACTCAAAAGCAGAGACAAAGATAAAGTTGAAAGAACAGAGCAAGAGAAAATGTTTACAGGCCATTACAAGTCCTTAAATTAGTAGTAAAATAAGGAATCAGTTGCTCAAGTTTAAGAAAGCAGTAAACAAGAGATTGCATTTACATGCAGATGTCTAAAATTTGTATTTCTTTTTAAATCTATGCACAAAAAGTCATTTGTTTTTATTGCTTGACATTCAATTATGGCTAGAGTATTTTTAACCTTTTTTTTGTACTTTGGAAACAAGAATATTGTTAAAGGTGCCATAAAAATGGACAACATTGAAATCGGTTAGCAAATAAACCTCCTAACACTGCAGTTCTTTATACATTTTAAAAAGCCTTGTCTGGGGTTTGTCATATGTTAAATATATTTAAATTGGGAAAATACACTGTAGCTTGAAGCCTCCCATTGGCCCAAACATCCAATACAAAAACACATCTCCATAAAAGGAGCAGGCAGACAATACAGTTACATATAAAGAAGCAGCCAGCTAATGTCCTAATCGTCAAAATATTTACCACTGTTCTATAAATTAAACACAAAAAATGAGGAAAAATTTGGATTTAGAAAGATATTTACAGTACATATGCCTTTCGTGAAATAAAATTCACTGTATTGCTTATGAATTCTCTGCATTTAGATATCATATAATTAAAGAGATTGCAAGTGCTTGTAAAATTTATGCATCTATATTAAGATAGTTTAGGGGAAAATCAGTATATTCAGCAGATATAAACATGGAAAGCATGCGGATATTGCCTAAAAATAAAGTCTCATGTCATATATATTATGCCAAACAACTTTCTTGTGAAGTGCAGCTCCAACAGATAATGAGGTTATGAGGAAAGATATCAAAGTGAATAAGGTGGCAGCAAAATCTAAATGTAAAGAGTGTATATTGATTGCCTGCATAGTCAGAATATTTCATACATTTTTATTTTCACAATGTAAAGGGGCTAAACATTTAATGTGGCATCATGTTTTATTTCATATGTGGATAGAGTATATTTATTGCTCTAGAAGGTTATTGCTATATTCTACCTCTAATAAAGGCAAAAAAACCCCTCTGTCACTGGTAATTACACACATGGAATATAAAGGTAGAATACAGCTTTTATTGTGTTGTTAAAATTCCTTTAAATACCTGAATAAAGTTCAAAGAATGGAGTAGATACTAGCAAGTATCCTTTTATTAAACGTTACATATTTTCCTCCTCTACCCAGTGTCTTAACAGCATTATATTGGGCTGCTATGGTACACAGTAATGGGAGCTGAGCAAATACTACAACCATTTTTCTATAAATGGTTATTTCAATTTTTAAAATTAGTTTTTTCTATTGCATTTGGCTTCCTTGTATGTTTGCTTTCCCCGAATATTCCACCAAATCATTTAAGTGGCAGGAATATTCAAGCAAATGTCACACTAATATTCAAACATGTTCATAGAAGGTGAATTGTAAAATAATAAATATTAATTAATCATAAAAATCCAATTCTAAGGGGTGCACTCTTCCAATTAGGGAAAATAAATATACTATGTGTCCTAGGTGTCACAATCAAAACCAGCCAGCACAGCTAAAATTTCAAATATTGAATAGTCAGAGAAAACTCCTTATCACTAATTATTTCAGAATATTATACAGTAATTTTTTCCTACAACTAATATTGATAAAATCCATTATCTGCCTGTGGGAGACTCAAATACAGAGCTAAACTGTAGAATAAATGATTCATTACAAACGATGTGCCCAGTTTTAGTAGTAACCCGGTTTTTATATCAGTTTAAGGATCCCTAACTCTGAAGGCTAGGGAAGGGTCTAAGCCAATCATTAGTAGAGCCAGGCAAATTTTTTTTGACCCAAACTTTTTTTTGGAGAAATATGCAGACTTGTTTTGTGAACGCATGTTGATTTGGTTGCATTGTTTGCTTTGGATTTTTTTTTTAATCTAAATGTTTTGACATTTCTGAAAAAAAAATGGTCTCAGTTTGAAAATGACTTTTGAAATTTGTTTTAATGTTATTTTAAAATATTCAAACATTTTAAAACACTTGACATCGTAACAATTTTTAAAAACGTTTTGATTTGCCAAAAATGTCAAAACATTTCCATTGTAGGTCTAACCCAAACGATTTCCCCCTCTCCCCCCCCGACAGCTCAAAATTGCTAACGAATCAAAAAATCCATTGTTTACCCTGTTATCATCAGGGGGTCCAGGAAAATACATGCACCAATGTCTGGAGCACCGAAATATAGAGATACAATTTATCTTGTAAACTGTACACATTGAACAGAATGTTGTGAATGATTTGCAAATATGAACAGAAGGATGTCAACCATTTCAATAAATATTTTTAGACCTCTACCTTAGTCTTTACATGTTTAAGATCAGCAGTAGGGATTCTCTTCTAACAAAAATAAAAGAGAATGAGAACTGATCAAGAGACCAACCTTATTAGGCAATTTCCTGTCTTAAAACTAAACCTGCATGCATTAGAAAATCAACTGCATAAGCTTGTAGAGTGGTTACTTAAGTCAGATTTCACTAGATTTATTTCTTTACATAAATGTAGAATTGGGATTTGTGTTATACGAGCAAAGGAAAAATGAAAACTCGCAAGAAAATGGAGAAATGATGCTTTTTAAAAGAACAATTTAAATCATATAGGTAAGATTTTGAGAAATCACTCTTCTTGCCCTGGTTAAAGAGTTTCAAAATCTTGCCCATTGTTTTTGTAATTGCTTACCTTAATCATCTTCTACTTGCTTTTATTTTAGGTACAAAAGAAAGCAAAGCAAAGCAACTTCATCAGTACTTCAGGGCTTCCAGAACCCAATATAGATATATTTGAAAAATCTTACACTAAATCCATAGAGTTTTGGCACTGACAGATTAGACTTTTCTGTTTCCGGCTACTACTGCAATTGCTGTAAGACTTAGATGTGGAAATGCAAAGATGTAGGTAGCTACAGTGCTTCTTTAAATGACATATTTTTGGTTTACAGTGAAGCACATAGAGCAACAGCAGGAAGGTCTAATAACTTGTTCTTCTGGTATGCTTCTGGTTTGAATGGTGTTCTGTGCTATGTGACTCAATGTAAAGATTGAATAATCATAGCATTTCCACTCATAATGCATATGAAAAACTGAGTTCTCTTTGATAATTATAATTTAAACATGGAAGATTCATTTTTTGTTACAAAACACTGAAGTTCAACTTGACATAAACACTCCTATGATTAAAAAATGGTAAACAGTGGGTCCTGAAATGAAATTTGAATAATGATTTGTTTTCCAAGAATGTTTACAAAATTCAGTATGATTTTTAAAGTTCTATTCCTTCCTTTCTTTAATTTTTCATTAAATAAGACTGATGAGTAATGGGCTGGAAACTCAAATGAGGCACACATGGAGAGTTTAGACACATAAGAGTTCTACACAGTTCACTTGTGCCTTGGAGGGATGATGATATATTTTTCAAAAAGCAATTTGTCCCAGTAGTACTGGCCACCCTGTTGAAGAGTTTTAGTTGATCCCTGAGCACATTAGTTTCTGACTCTTAAACCCAACTCTGAAATAATAGGGCTTCTATTGTTGATAACAAGATGGATTGTCATTCACAGTTAAGTCAATCATAAGGTGCTTATTTATTTACCCTTTTTGTCACCAATCAGCACAAAGAACTGTCAGAAAATAACTTTTATTTCTTTTTAAATAAAAGAAGGGCACAAAATGATTAAACAATTAATTTTTATGACAGTGGCTTTAGGATTATTATCTGGCTGCCCCTCGACAACAAACAAGTGATTCAATCGACATTCCTTAAGAAAAAAAAGTAAAAAAATCCTGTACAAATATGTATTTTTCCCTGAGGGATAAGGTTACACCCGCAAGTGCTCTA